TGTTCATGGGCGGCAGTAGTCACTTACCATCAGGTGAGCCGCATGCTCGTTTGCCCCCTCTCCTATAAAAAAATGTTCAGTGCTGAACACAGGCCTTCCCCATAGAATGCCTGTTAGGAGAAATATTTTCAATCATTGCCACACTTGGCAAGCGGGTTGACAACTGAGTCTTTTATTTTTAGTTGTTATTACGAAGACCCTGCTCCCCATCTCCTGATATGTTTCTCTCTATCGCCTCTTACTACACCAACGGGATGATATGAACTAGTAAAAGGACGTAAAGCCGTAGATCCTGCGCTTGATTTCCCTCCAGTCGTGTCGGATTACCGTCCCATTGGACTTTGAAACTGAGGGAATAGAGATTGCATCTGAACTTACGCATGCACTCGACCTGGCAACATACAACGCACGCACCCTGAGGACTGACGAGAAGATTGTGGAGCTGGAAGAAGAGATAGACAAGTTACGCTGGCATATTATAGGATTATCCGAAGTCCGAAGAGAGGGGGAGGACACGGTAATCCTCGAATCCGGCAACTTGCTCTATCACCGGGAGGGCGACCATCTGTCCCAAGGAGGTGTCGGATTTATCGTCCACAAGTCTCTCGTTAACAACGTTGTAAAGATTGAGAGTGTGTCGACGAGGGTTGCGTACCTTATACTCAGAATCACCAAACGGTATTCGCTGAAGGTCATACAGGTTTACGCACCAACCTCGGCACACCCCGATCAGGAGGTGGAGGAAATGTATGAGGATATCTCTAGAGCCATGCATTCCTCCAAAACCCAATATACGGTGTTAATGGGAGACTTCAATGCAAAACTAGGCACAAGAGAGAACGGTGAGCTGAAAGTGGGGAAATTTGGAATAGGGCAACGGAACCCAAGGGGCCAGCAGTTGGCCGACTTCATGGAGAAAGAGAGACTCTTTATGATGAACTCTTTCTTCCAGAAGCGGCCCCACAGGAAGTGGACCTGGTCGAGCCCCGACGGTTCGACAAAAAATGAGATTGACTTCATTATGACGACCAGACGACAACTGTTCAGTGATGTCTCAGTGATCGCGAGGGTGAAAACCGGCAGCGATCACCGAATGGTTAGAGGCACACTGAACCTAAACGTTAAGTTGGAGAGGTCTCGTCTAATGAAGTCAACGCTCCGTCCCCCTCGTGCTCTAATCCAAAGTCCCGAAACCATTCAGCTCGAGTTGCAAAACCGTTTTCAGTGCCTAGAAGACTGCAAGGAAGTGGACGATTTGAATGACAAGCTCGTGGAAACTGTCCATGCGGTCGGAGCTAAGTTCTGCAAGACCCGCCGCAGAAGAACACAAAAACTCTCCGATCACACTCTTAATCTCATGGCTGTTAGACGGGAGATGAAGCTGCATTCTTCAACAGATTTGACAGCATACAGGCAACTGAACAGACAGATCTCCAAATGCATGCGGCGGGACTTACGCAACTTCAATACAGCTCGTATTGAAGAAGCGATCGAGCGGAACCAAGGCTCCAAAGTCTTTGCCAGAGATCTGTCTGCCAGAAAGAGCCAACTGTCAAAGCTGAAGACCGAATGTGGCAGCATCGTTTCCGGGGCACCTGAGATTTTGGTTGAGATTGAGAGGTTCTATGGGCAGCTGTACACGTCATCGTTGGAGCCACACGCAAGTGTGAGTAACGATCCAAGAGCGAGTCTTATCCGACATTATTCCGATGATATCCCGGACGTCAGTCTGAGCGAGATTAGAATGGCTCTCCAGCACCTTAAAAACGGCAAGGCCCCAGGCCAGGATGGAATTACAGCGGAGCTTCTGAAAGCGGGTGGAAAACCGGTACTTGAAGTCCTTCAGAAGCTCTTTAATTCCGTCCTCCATGGTGGCATTACACCGGAGGCGTGGAGCAGAAGTGCGGTGGTCTTGTTCTTCAAGAAAGGCGACAACGCTCTCTTGAAGAACTACAGACCGATTTCCCTTCTGAGCCGCGTCTACGTGCTGTTTTCGAGAGTCATTACGAATCGTCTCGCGCGCAGACTTGACGACTTCCAGCCTCCCGAACAAGCCGGTTTCCGAAAAGGCTTTAGCACCATAGACCACATACATACCCTTCGGCAAATTGTACAGAAGTCCGAGGAGTACAATTTGCCACTATGTCTGGCGTATGTGGACTATGAGAAAGCCTTTGATTCCGTCGAAATTTGGGCGGTGCTGCAGTCCCTTCAGCGATGCCAAGTTGACTGTCGGTATATCGAAGTGTTGAAGTGCTTGTACAGTAGGGCTACGATGGCTATCCGAGTACAGAACCAGAGTACGAAACCTATCCAATTGCAGAGAGGTGTAAGACAGGGTGACGTCATATCCCCGAAACTCTTCACCGCTGCATTGGAAGATGTTTTCAAGCTTCTGGACTGGAAAGGATACGGTATCAACATCAATGGCGAGTACATCACTCACCTTCGATTTGCCGACGATATAGTCCTTATGGCAGAATCGCTGGAGGACCTAAGCACTATGCTCAATGACCTCAATAGTGTTTCCCAACGGATAGGTCTTAAGAAGAACATGGACAAAACAAAGATCATGTTTAATGTCCATGTCACACCTATGCCGGTAGTTGTTGGGAACACTAAGCTCGAAGTTGTTGACGAGTATGTTTACCTGGGACAAATAGTCCGACTAGGTAAGTCCAACTTCGACCGAGAGGTCAACCGACGGATTCAACTCGGTTGGGCAGCGTTCGGGAAATTACGGCACATCTTCTCGTCAGGTATACCTCAAAACTTGAAAACGAGACTGTACACCCAGTGCGTGTTGCCAGTGATGACATACGGAACTGAGACGTGGTCCTTCACTGCTGGCCGGATGAGGAAGCTCAAGGTCGCTCAGCGAGCTATGGAGAGGGCTATGCTCGGAGTTTCTCTGCGTGATAAACTCAGAAATGAGGATATCCGCAGTAGAACCAGAGTGACCGACATAGCCCAACGGATTAGTAAGCTGAAGTGGCAATGGGCCGGCCATATAGCTCGAAGAACCGACAACCGATGGGGAAGAAAGGTTCTCGAGTGGCAGCCTCGTACCGGCAGGCGAAGTGTAGGGCGTCCCCCCACTAGATGGAGTGACGACCTGGTAAGATTTGCAGGAAGTCGATGGATGCAGGTGGCTCAGGACCGTGCTTTGTGGCATTCTTTGGGGGAGGCCTATGTTCAGCAGTGGACTTGTGAAGGGCTGTAATGATGATGATGATGATTACGCATGCACTTGGGCACTATAACCCTGTCCTGTGCAGATGGCTAGTCTCTGTTGAGAATGGCTTTCGTGACAGAAATTTGGTATGGAGGACATTATTCTGCGCAGAAATCGAGCTCCCAGAACACACGGCGTAATCGAAGCCTTACCAACTTCACTATGTGCCTAGTTGTAGTAAATTAATAAGCTATGTCTTGGCCAGTTCAACTTCCACTTATTTTGTTCTTTTGCAGACCAGTAATGAAGGTACTAGTTTGTATAATATAACAACTACAATGTTTAACATAAACGCTGCAACGCTTAACAAAAATGTCCATGTATTTTATTTATATTTGCCTAGACCACCTTCATTTCTGTTAAATATATAGCGACATCGACTGGTTATGTTAAATAGAAACGTAAACCAGCATATGCTAAGTAACAACTTAAAAACAATGTTTTTATTGCGTGAGATAAATATTAGATGTATTTTTGTTATTCGTTTTATAAGAGGCGGTGCACGCTACTTAATAATAAAAACAATTTGGTTTATTAACTATGTTTTTATAGAATTAAGGTTGACAAAATGAGAATAATTTTTTTACGTGGTAGAGCCATGCTGCAGCTATATTAGTAGTATAGTTGTAGTAAGTATGGGTCGGCTCGACCGGGGAAGAACCACGCTCTCACGGAAAACCAGCGTAAAATAGCAGCTTAACGCTGCTGTGTTTCGTATGGTGAGTGTCTCTACACTCGGAGACCCTTTTTACTGGCAAAGAAGCATTCCATCTTAGTCCTCACGGGTGACAACGCATCTGCATCTTGAGTCTTTATTGAGGATAGATGTAGATGTCTATGGGCTACAGCAACCACTTACCATCAGGTGGACTGTGTGCTCGTTTGTCACCCTATCCTATAAAAAAAAAAGAATACAAACCGCCAGTTAAATAATATATGGTAAATAGAGTGCGGAGTGTGCAGAAATTAATACTATTAATGCGAAGGTAGCCGTGTTTAACTATGACATTGGGACTTCGAACATTCAAGTCTACCTCGTGAACATGGATGCTTTAAAGTGCTTGAAACGTCTGGATTTTTCTCTACATAGCATAGTGAAAAATGTCATATTTTAAACTACACACCGGATTTGAAGCGGTTTTCACCGATAGACAGAATAATTCAAGAGAAAGGTTTATATGTATAATATATTATATAATTATTCTGTCCGTGTGTATGTGACTGAACTCCTCCTAAACGGCTGGCCCAATTTTGATGAAATTTTGTGTGTGTGATTAAGTTGATTAGAGAATGGTTTAGATTCACAATTGGACCAGGTAGGTGGCATTGTTGCCGAATGCTAGAAATCAACCGTGCGAAGCCGGGGCGGATCGCTAGTATAAAATAAATTAATATACACGATAAAATTCGTAAAACCTAGTTTTTTTTTAATGTGTAATGTTCGTGTAAGTAATCGTTAAATGCTATGGCTCGTAGACACTTACGTCCTCGATTAAGAATCAAAATGCAGCAGCATTATGCTGGTATTCCGTTGCAGGCGTAGTCCTTTCCCAGTCTAGCCGATCTATTGGTACGACAGCTTATTGTAGGCTGTGCAATGTGCTGCATGCTTTTCCACGTCAATAATAATCAAAAAATCAAAATTATAACGATAAACATTTACCAAATTGAATTGTAAACAGTAATTTCAATTATTACTAAAATTTGGCAGAACTATTTTAAAAATGTATTATAAAAAAATAATGCAAATTCTCTTTTGTTTCAGGAAGAAGTTCAATGCACAAGCTACCGGTTAGAAATGTAGTTAATAAAAGAAAGTATGGGACATGGTTTGATAATTTTATGTTATTTTGAATGTAAATAATGAGACATATTATCGATTACTTCATACTATGTGCTCTGTAGTGATGTGTCGTCATCGATCATGATTGTGTCTCGCACGCAACTAGTGCTGTTCTTTGCTCTTCTACATTATCGAGCCGAAAGTCAACAGGAAGTGCTTATTGAAGAGTCACGTGAGTATTTACTAATTGCGTTACAATATAAAGATCGTAAAGCCTTTAAATGTATACAGTAATAGGCCTTATATTAAGAGACTATGGTTACAATGCTGAGAAGTGAAATATTGTGTGTTGTGGTAGCATTATGCTTATTTTTCAGGTCTTGAAAATAGGCTAAATTTTGTCCTTCTTATCTGGATGCATTATATTCAAAATATGATCGTGATCTTGAAGGCTTCATCGCTTCGTTTGAAAATGTTTTTGAACAAAGAAAACACAAAGGCAAAGATGGATTTGTCGAATTTTCTATGAATCCATATTTAATATATTTTGCACTATGTTGCCGTCTCTTCTTTTTTGCTTCCGACATGGCTTTGTTTTTACAAATATGTATATAAAGTACTGAACTTAAATACTTGTTTAAAGATTGCGCGCAAAATCACCAGTGATTTATCTCTTCGACGCTCAATCGTACTGTGGAAGTTAAGACAAGTATCGATGAACCAGCCGATTGCTACCGGATTGCACCAATAGCGTTATTTAACAAAAACTCGTTACAACTTGACTGCGTACGGCGTACGGGTTTTTATACCACCATACAGGGCAGAAATATAAACTAATTATTCCATATTGAGTAGTAGATAGGTATTAATTTTAGTAATTTTAAAATATAAAGTAGCTAAATAAAATTACAAATCAAACATCGTCCCTCTAAGCCACGCCAACGCCCCCCCCCATTTTTTTCTGGCCCTTAATGCTCCCCTCTAGGTCTCAAACGCCCACAAGAGGGCGTAGTAGTGCGATTGCTGATCATGAAAGCAAACGTTCAATTCCTGGGTCGGGTAAAAATTACTATTATTGAGATTTTCCATCAAGGAGTTCTCAGTAGCCGCTCCGGGCGGGGGAGTTAGGAAGTTGTCTCTGTCTCACCTCCATGCCTCGGAAGAACGTAAAGCCGTTGGTCTTGCGCCTGATCTCTCTCCGGTCATGTTGGTTTACCGTGCCATCGGATTATGAGAGTGAGGGAATAGTGTGCACCTGTGCTTGTGCATACACTTGGGCAATGTAATCCTGTCTTACGCAAATGGCTGGTCTCCGTTGAGACTGGCCGGCGTGACTGAAATTCAGTCTGGAGGACATTATTATTATTACTTTAATAGTAATAGCTTGGTAGTAAGCGCTGATGAGGCCTTAGACGGTAAATTGCACTGGCTTAGCGTAACTTTTTTTTTATAGGATAAAGGTGACAAACGAGCACACAGTCCACCTGATGGTAAGTGGTTGCTGTGGCCCATAAACATCTACATCTATCTTCGTTTGCGAATCAAAATTCAAATGCGTTGTCACCCGTGAGGACTAAGATGGAATGCCTCTTTTCCAGTAAAAAGGGTCTCCGGTTCTCTACACTCACCATACGAAACACAGCATGGTTAAGCTGCTATTTGACGCTAGTATTCTGTGAGAGCGTGGTCCTTCCCCGGTCGAGCCGACCCATTCGTGCTACAATCATAATATAGCTGCAGCATGGCTCTACCACGTCTAAAGCCTATTCACTACACACATTCTTGCTTTGAAAACAATCAGATTGTAATTATTTTAAAAAATAGAACGAAATGACTGGCGACGGCAAATTATGCCACATCCTTGCGCACAGCAATGGAAACAAAATGGGTGTAATTTAATACTAAATTATTTCATATGTATTTTATAAAAGGCGTAGTGTGTTTATTAAAACCTCGTGAGAAACCACCAATGACAAAACAAAAAACAATCATCGTAATTATAACGTTATTATTTAAATAATTACACACAGTTTTAAATTTAAACGTAATTTGAAAGTTACTAATTTTGTTTTCTTCACTATTTTTCGATTGTCTCTTTGTTTTAGTTGTCTTAAGCGTGACTGCTGATCATGAGGTCCTGGTTTCAAATCCTAGTTTTTTTTTAGAAGATGAGAAAGTTGGTTAATATGTTTTATATCGGTATTACTTCAGCTGTGTTTTTTTTTATAGAATAAGGGCGACAAACGAGCACACTGTCCACCTGATGGTAAGTGGTTGCTGTGACTCAAACACATCTACATTTGTCCTCAATAAAGAATCAAAATGTAGATGCGTCGTCACCCGTGAGGACTAAAATGGAATGCCTCTTGTCCAGTAAAATGGGTCTTCGAATCTCTACACTCACTATACGAAACACAGCAGTGTTAAGCTATTTTACGCTGGTATTCTGTGAGAGCGTGGTCCTGCCCCGGTTGAGCCGAACCATCCGTGCTACAACTATACTACCAATATAGCTGCAGCATGGCTCTACCACGTAGCATAGTTCATGAGACTTTCTGTCAAGAAATTCCCAGTAAGAGCTCCAAGTCCTCAATTTGGTGGTGTTACACCTCCGTGCCTCAGAAAGCACGTGAAGCCGTTGTTCCTGCACCTGCTCCCCAGTAAAAATCCCTATGAATAAAACTACTTTTACGCACTTTTTTGCGTTTAATTTACTTATTTTTATTATTTTTATTAATTCAAATTCAAAATGAATAAAAAATTCATTTTGAATTTTTTATTAATTTGAATATAGAATGAACTTACTGTGTCTTAAAGTTTGCAGTGGTATGGTTGGGTTTAGTTTTAATTTTATTAATTACAGGATCCCAAGCAGGTGGTAGTACCCAGCCTCCATCTCTATTGAAATTAGTATATAATAATTAAACAAACTGCAGGTACTACGGGTTAACTCTGACATCGGGACGTCAATCACCTCAGTTCCCCGTGACCACGAGCGCTGAAAAGCACCCGAAACGTCGGGAATTAATAAAAATAATATAAATAAGTAAATAAAACGCGAAAAAATCCGTAAAAGTAGTTTTATACAATGTGTAGTGTTCGCGTTAATATAAGAAATCATTATAAAAAAGCCTTTGTTGAATATATAATCTATACAAATAAATGAAATTGAAGTGTCTGTTTGTAATGTGAAAATTACAGTTTTTTGCTAAATGCATACGAAAATAAATACGGTACTTATAACTAAAATACAAATTTAAAAATTTTTGTCTGTCTGTCTGTCTGTCGGTTTGTTCCGGCTAATTTCCGAAACGGCTGGACCGATTTTGACAGGACTTTCAATGGCAGATAGCTGATTTCATAAGGAGTAACTTCGGCTACTTTTATTTTAGAAAAAGAATTAGAGTTCCGCGCAAAAACATAAAAACCCTAACACGCGAGCGAAGTCGCGGGGAACAGCTAGTTATAAATCAATATCATGAGCTGTGGTAGCTCAGGGGCTAAGCGCTCGCTGTAAATTTCACAGTACGCGTGCAACCCGGGTTTGATCCCTGCCGGCACCAATGAAATTGTTATTGCAATTTTAAGTGCTGATTTACCACGTGCTCGCCGGTGAAGGAAAACATAGTGAAGAAACCGGCATGTTTGAAGAATACGAAAAAAATATTTCGAAGATGTGTGTCCCTAACACGCATTGGGGCAGTACGGCGGACATTTCCTTCCTCCTCTCATTCCTTGGACATTCCTAAGGAATAAGAGGAGACGTGGGCATTGAAACGTGTATAAGCTAACTTTAACTGATTTTTAATAATATAATAATAATGCAGTAAGTGAGTTCAATAAGAATTACCTATAATCTATCTTGAATTAAAAATATATTCTATTCTATTCTATGTAAATATAGAGATCATCATCATCATCATTACAGCCCTTCACAAGTCCACTGCTGAACATAGGCCTCCCCCAAAGAATGCCACAAAGCACGGTCCTGAGCCACCTGCATCCATCGACTTCCTGCATGTCTTACCAGGTCGTCACTCCATCTCGTGGGGGGACGCCCTACACTTCGCCTACCGGTACGAGGCTGCCACTCAAGAACCTTTCTTCCCCATCGGTTGTCGGTTCTTCGAGCTATATGGCCGGCCCACTGCCACTTCAGCTTACTAATCCGTTGGGCTATGTCGGTCACTCTAGTTCTACTGCGGATATCCTCATTCCTAAGTTTATCACGCAGAGAAACTCCGAGCATAGCCCTCTCCATAGCTCGCTGAGCGACCTTGAGCTTCCTCATACGGCCAGCAGTGAAGGACCACGTCTCAGTTCCGTAAGTCATCACTGGCAACACGCACTGGTTGTACAATTTCGTTTTAAGGTTTTGAGGTATGTCTGACGAGAAGATAAATATAGAGATACATGACCTTAATTCTGTTGTATAATTGATTATATAGCATAGACATAGAGGTTCACATTACATCCATTACACGATAAAGAATGATTTGTGTTCCCCACAAATATTGATTCAACTAGGCGACCAAGGAAACAGTGAGAAATGATGTTTGTTTTGAGAAATGATAAACTTGTTTTAAGACTGATATTTTAGTCATGAAATGAAAGATTTTTTTTTGTTTTCTAAAACGTTACCCCCATACTAGGATTTTCTCCTAAAGTAATTAATTGGATAAAATAAAACAAACGAATAAAAATGTAAATTTTATGAATAAAATAGTCCAATTGTTACACTTACATTATGGGCTGATTTTTCAATCGCCAGAAAAAAATCAATTAAATTAATTATAAGTTTTAATTTAAAAAGAAATAATGGAAGTAATTTATTTCTAAAATTGTTGTTTTTAATTTTTTTTATTTTGCATTTTATTCATTTATATAACGTCTCCGTGGCGCAGTGGCTCTGCAATGAGTTGCAGCGCAAAGGGTCCAGGTCTGGATGTTTGTCCTTGTGAAATTTATGCATGTTGACTGACTCCTCGATACAGGAGAAAATCCTAGTGCGAAAAGGTAAGGTTTTTTTAAAGAAAGAAAAATTTTAAAAAAAATCCTGAGTCAGGTTATAATTTATTTGATGGATAACTTTTGTCGGACGACTTATCGAAATAAGCCTTTAATAAATATTACGCGGGAAAAGAAAATCTCGCGCATATTTCTAAAACAGCAATTTATGGCAAATTAAAAAATACAACTAAACGCGATAAAATTAATAAATATAGCTTTCAC